GCACGCAGCGAGGGAAAAGAGACCCGGTCACGTTAGCGCCTGGCGATTCTAACGCGTTAACGGTGCATAAATCCCCTCTGCGACTGCGAGATTATCCACGAGCTCTTCTAAGAAATCGTTTTGGAAATAGCAGCGATAAAAGTCCCAAACTTACAAGTAAACCCACGCCACTGTCCTCCCCCCCGCACCCACAGAAGTTTTCAGACAAGCCCAAAGACGACAGATTTTCCTTAAGGACCAGGGATTTTCCCTCCGGTTGTCCGTGCCTGAACAGTAAGAAAAACAATCGTAGCAGCGGAGTTAAATTCACCCTGCGGGGAGAGAGGGCAGCCGGGGCACCGGGGACTGTCACAACCCCCGTACCCCAGCTCCACCTTCCCAATCCAATTTGCACAAAAGCAAACAGTTCCAGCAGATACTTTCTCCAGAAGAGACGCTGTATTTCTCAGGTAAGGCAAAATTTCCACCTCTGAATCAGCATTCCTCTACTATTAGGATTTACAGAACAAAGTCTCTTTAGCAAAACGCCCGCACCTGCCAGCTCACCTGTCTGCAATTACACTAAGCAAACCAGATCTATCACAGAAGAGATTTTAATAAAAACACTGCAGAGTTCCTAATTGGATTTTTGTTTTAAGTAAGTCCCTTTAGTATACTGTTAACCATGCAACTTCAGTACAGACAGTTCAATGCCTGTACATTTTAAATGTTATACTTCGTGTCACTTACGTCTTTGGTTTTTTTGCTTTTAATGAGATGTGGAAGTTCCTGAATCACGTACCTGGTTGTCTGGGATAGAGATAATTTTCTTCCTAGTAGCTGGCATAGCGCTGTGTTTTGCATTTAGGATGAGAAGAATGCCGATAACACGCTGATGGTTTGTTTTTTTTTTTATGCTGGCTGGGGCTAAACCACAACACTGGTATTACAACTTGGAAAGTTTTACACAGCCTCATTTTGTAAGAAGTGAGTGACTTCATTCCCACAGACGTAACAGCGCAAACAAAAAAAGGCAGCCTTCGAAGGATGCTTTCCTTGCTGTTGATGTGAGAAGGGTTCTTCCACACCAGGAGAGAATGCAATTATTTCAGATAGAAATCTACTGTTTATTACTGAGGACTAAAATTAAAACAAAAAACTAAATCTCAGTTTATCCCACAATGAACAGATCCACTGATGCATTTTGCAGTATCATCCCCAAAACTGTTTTGCAGTCTGTCAGAACAAACATCCTAACATCGAGAAGCTAGACTACACAGAGAGATCCTTAGTTACATAGGGAGATGTGTTTTTTCAAAAGTGTAAGAATTGCACTGTTTGCATCAATCTTTAATGGCTTTGAATAAAAGTGTTGTCTGGAAAGCCTCCAAGTTCAGATTCTAAAGAAGGGTAATTAGAGTTCAGTCCCAAATGCATAAAATTTTCAACTAAATGTTACACAAATAACATTTCCCCCCCACACACTGTTTATATTCTTACTCAAATCTAAAAGCCAGCAATCATGAAAAGGACACAAGAAACCTATGCAGAGAAACTCTACACTGACACATGGACAACACACAGACGCCAGTGATACCATCACTTTCTTTCTATGAGGGAAGATTTTTTTTTATATTTTCAGCATTCACATATAAACTTCAAATCCTGAAAATAAATATGGGTCTCGGAGTCCTTCACAAAGACCCCAAAGAAAACTATCTACAAATTATACATTCAGCTACTCTGTCATTTTCAACACTTCCAACAATCATCACTTTTACAAGTCTAAACTTTCATAGCTGGGAAAGTTGTGTGTCAGCTACATATTTAAGGAACGATAATGCTTATCATCCGAATACACTTTCCACTATCACATGGCTTTACCGAATACTGTTCTACAGATAGGAAAAGCTTAAGAGATGTATGCAAAAGAATCACTGTCAGACTCAATTCATGGCTTCCCTATCATGGGATCATACCATTACTTTGAAACCAACTGAAAACCAGCCATCAGAGTACAGTTTAAATACTGACAATGGAATTCTGGTCCCCACACAAATCTGTGGGAAGAAAGACCAGAATTTCATCCCTTTTATATAAAACCTGGTAGAGAAACATTAGTAAACAAGAGTTTTAAGAGTCAGGAAAAACTATAAAAAAAATCCTTGTAAGTCATAAAAACCATTTCAATGTGAAATTTGTAAAATATCACCCTATTTATTCTCTAGGCTTTTCTAGCAATATATGACTTTATCATAACATATCTGTAGAAATCTGATAATTAAGAAACAATGTTTTTTCTTAAAGGTAGTTACTTAAACATTTGCGAGTTTGGAAAGTTGAGCTAAAGTCTCTTTACAGAGCAAAAAATTGCACACAGTTTTCAACCTTTTCACTTCCAATTCTCCACGTCATTGAGGGTACGGCACATAACAGTCTGGAGGGGAGCCAATGCTGCTCACTGGGCTCCGGGTAGTTGACTCATAAGAATTTGGAGCAATTCCAACCACACCATCATTTTGAGGGGTTTCTCCTTTCAAAAAGTCATCATCTTCATCTTCAGAAGTACCCTGCATAAATTTAAAAGGATCAGTGAGAGCAGAAAGACACTCCAGATCTCTTGTTAAGATTTGGCAGAAGTAATGAATGCCGAGACCAAAAAGGGTACTCCTAAAATACATTCTGAAATGTTACAACAATCAAATCTGCTAATCAAAATGCTATAGGAAAGTTTACAAAGTTGTCAGTTAACAAAGCTACAACACTGTAAAGTATTTTTACGTGTTATCACAGGAAGGAAAGAAAAACGCATTGTTTGAAGAACTCAAAAATCTAACATAGGATAGACGTTCTGCAAGAAGGTACACAGAGCTTTAGAAGGACATAATTCAGGACCTGGGTTGTACTACAATTGTCATGACTAGTTGGAATGGTAAAGGAATTAGATGTACTCTCATTATGAAATACGGGAACTAAATTGTATCTGCAAAGTGGATTTCCCAGTGACATCAGCGTGTCTATATTCTGAGTGTTCATAAGCGTTCACAGTGGTCCTGTGCTGCCAAACTAACTTCTCTGCAGAAGAGGGGACAAGTGTTCTCAAAGCAAGGATGGATCAATCCCTAAAGCTTCCGAATTTCAATCACAGCTTCCCGTAAGTGTTCAGTGTACTCGTATCTACTAAAAAAAAAATTAATCCTGCAATAGAACCAGCTGATAGAGGTTTGGGAAAAGCTGAACTGCATTTTGATCAGAAAAGATTACCCTTTTAATGGGTTTCTTCAGATTCTCAAGATCTTCAGCACTCAGCTCTTCCCAAAACTGATAAAAAGGATCAATAGTCTTCTTTGATCTGAAAGAGGAGTTAAAACACAGTATCAGTTAATATATTCAGTAAAAGTCACGTGTTTCATTTTAATAATACAATATAAAATGCTTGGCATTTTGATAGCCCTCTGTTGCATTTTACAAACTATTCAATTAATCCCTATATAATCCCCAATTAATCCCATGAAGAAATAACTCCACTTTGCTGATAGGTATAAGTTACAACAGTGTGCTTGAGGAGTTCTGATAGTCAGGTCTCCTAATGCCTAGCTGGGTATTTTTAAGAGCTACACTATGCTCGCAAATAACCCTAATTTTCTTCCAGATTTTTAGAATATTGTATGGCTTCTTTTAATAATTTCTACTTCTAAGAAAGGTCTCCCTTCTGTAAAGATGGATTTTTTTTTTTTAAGAGGCAAAAAAAAAGCAGCCAGAATGTTGCCCTCTAACATTAGAAAGTGATTAAAGCATGATAGTGCTAGACATTTTGAAAAGCTGCAAATAATCCACTATTCAATAATAAAGCAAGGTATTTTAAATAAGTCTCCAATCAAGAAGCAATACGTTCAAGGTACAAAAAACCCAAAACAAAACCAAGAAAAAAAATGACACAGCACCATCGCAGCTCCAACAAAATATGTGTGAAGCTAACATTATAATGTTTTAGAGACTGCTTGAAACAAGGAAAGCGAAAAGAAAAGTCACCAAACATATTAACTAGACCTTCCAGGAAATTGGGTACTGTTCCTTCTTCATTGCCATATGTCACAGTGGGGGTAAATTTCAATTCAAACCTTTGACAATCTCTAATTAAAATATGCCACATGAAAAGTACTAAAGATCAGGGAACAAACTGAACTGTAGAAACACTGACAGTTTCTTACAGTTTTTAGTTTGTTGTTTTCTACTAGGCCAAAACAAGTTGATTATTTTTAAACTATACCTTTTGAGTATGTAGGGATCAAAGGGGAAGAAACTGTCAAGTGGGTTAGTGCATGTCTGCACAAGGTCACCCCCAGTGCCACTCCGAACAACTGGTATGAACTGCCTATTGTTCCTCTCGATAATTGTGTAGCAGAACACCAACTGGTATTTCCTTCAAAAAGGTAATAAAGAAAAGATAAGCATTTCTAGCACACAGAAAGCAAAAATTTCAGATGGTATTTAAATACAAGTTTGGTTTTTTAACAAACATCACTTCTATCTTCCATTTTCTAACTGAAATTAGTTTTCAAGATAGTCACAAGGTAAGGAGTCTGTTATCTTCCTCTGCACTCCTATAAACTTCACTCCAAGTAGAATCATATTGGCTCCAACACAAAACAATCAGTTTCACAGTACTGCAGGATTTCACTGAAACTGAACCAGAAATGAAACTTATCCCACCTAGAATATAGGCAATGTTATATGAGTTCTTTTGGATAACAGTCAATACTGTTCCTAACAAAACCCATGTTCACACATACACATTCATCAAGCTGAAATCAAAATAAATGAGTAGGTACCTGGTAATGGCAGCAAACAAGTTCACAACAGAGGGTATACAAATCTTCAGAGGGTTTAGCTGACACATGACAATGCGCTCAAAATTCAAACTCTGCAGATATGACAGACCTTCAAAATAAGAACAATTGACAAATACAGGTTATATATTCTGTAATCTTAACTTAATTTCTAAGAATTTCCAGTCTGACCAGTCTGCACTCTGCACAACACCACAGAAGCATATCCTAGGGTGCTCTCGTAGAGATCTAGCCCACAGCTTGTTCAGCACAAAATGTACTCTCAGTAACCTGCCACAGCCAAGGGATCCTTCTAATACAGGCACTACACTTACACACCCATTACAGGAACTGACAGAGGCACAGTGTCATCAAGAAAGATTATTAATTGAAGCCCACACTACTTTTATACAGCTGGAATTCAAACATGCTTAGTAAGCGGGGCCAGAAATCAACATTGAGGAGTTATCTGCATTGTTTTCAACAGTGGGGAAAAAGAAGATTATTTAGCTTGGTAGTCCAACAGGTGTACAAGCCATCTCATTTTATTCAGAGCACAACATAAACTTGCCATCAGATACTTGACTGAATTGACCATTACAAACATATCAACAGTAAAACTTGCAAAGGAGTCCCAATACCGTTCAAGCCTAATATACTCACCTTTCCTTAAGTTGCCATCCAAAAGCTGCTTATGACGGAAAATAAGTGTATAGAACACCGCCTGACATGTAGAATAAAATGGCCCATGGAGAGCTACATCACAGTAAGCATTAGCCCCTGTATCCTGATTATCAATGTATTTATGCATCCAGTTAACCAGAAGATCCAGGCATGCTTTTACTGTACTATAATGAAGGAGAAAAAAAACAAGTGTAAAAATAGCACCTGAAATGGTGTAGAAAAGATGTTAAACAAGTATTCAAGGATCTCAGTGGTTATAAAAACATCAGTAAGAAAATATCATTGTAGAAAAGGAGATTCTGTTATGAGCTTTCTCTATCTCAGCATCAAATGAATCAATGTATCAGCACTGAAAACCCCAATCAGTGAAAGCACAAGATGCCAGAAGAGATGAACCCATGAACGCACGTTGCGTTTGAAATGCACAGTGAACAATTAGAATCCCGGGCTACAGGTAGTATAGAGAGAGATGCCTCCCATGTCCAACAAGTAATTCCAATATCAAATTAAGTTCAACATTAAAGTCACCAAGCCCACTCTGAACGGCATAAAAATACAGAATGTGTATGTACAAAAGAAGACATTTTCACCCATCTGCCAAAGTATTTTAATCCATCTGTATCAAATCCTTGAACACTTGACTTCCCTGTCTCAGAGTCTACATAAAAAGCCTAACATAGGGCATTAAAAATATCTGTTTCTGAACATCAGATATACCAGGCATCCATGACTCTACCTGAAGTCAACATAACCTACCTGTGCTCAGCATTTCTCTGTAAGTAAAGCCTTAAACAGCAAGTCATGAATCCCAGCAATCATTAGTCTGCATCCTGTAAATGCAAAACTTTCCTGGAAACTTCAAGACAATACTGAAACAGTACGGTAGAAAGGACAAACAAGACTATTGACACAGGCTTACTGGCAAAGCAGTGGGAATAGAAGACCAACACTGTGTGTGCATTCTGTGAATTCTGTACTTAACCTCAGCAATCATCATAAATTGTTTGGTTCTGCTCATATATCAAAACAACTTACACAACTGGAATAAATTTAGCTCTTGCCAAGAAGCTGCCAATGTAACTCCCAGCAGTCTGCCTGATCACTGAAGGATTGTTTGGATCATGCAGTTTTTTCCAAAGATGGTCTAAAAATGCCTCAGCCAGCCCCTGGAAACAAGATACATAGAAATCATGAGTTGTTATGCTGATGACGCTGTTTAAGTAATAAATGCCTAATACGGATTTCCTATAATTTCCATAACCAAACCATTAAAAAAAAAAATCTACCTATAACTGTAATAACTATTCTGACACACGATGGAAGGGCACTCTTTTCTGTGTTTTTTTCTATACTTAGTTGTAAAAAGTAAATGGAACCAGAAGTGTAGGAAAAAGTCAGGAATAGATACACGAGAAGTGTTTAAAACCAAAAGCAGTAAGAAGGTAAGCATGAAGTGACTGTTCACTGTCTCTTGTAGCAGAAGAGGTCACGGACATCCAATGAAAATAGCAGGAAGCCAAACTTAGAGGAAAAAAAGTGATTCTTCACCTTACATGGTTATATTGTGGAACTTTTTGCCACAGAAGTTCATGATGCCAAAAATTCACAGCAGCACAAAAAGCATAATATCATGAGATATTGTCTCCTTTAATTTGTCCATCATGGGCTGTTATCATGAAAAAACATCACTTTGGCTCAGGAAGTTACCGGACTGCTGCTGGAGGCTGAAAGAGTATTCTAGCAAAGCATCATAGAATCATAGAATTGTTTAGGTTTGAAAAGATCTTTAAGATCATCCAGTCCAACCATTAACCTAACACTACCAAGTCCACCACTAAACCAATTAAGGGTAGAGTCGCAATTTTGTGTTTCCTGGCTTGGTGGCTGGATAATTTTTAATGAAAGTA